AATATCTGCAAAATGTTTTTTTCTAAAGAATTCACAGCATATAGTTCCCAAATTTCCTATATTTGCACTGCTTTTTTGCAGAGTTATTGATAAAACGCGGGTTCGACTCTCGCCTGAGGCGTATTTTTGCTCACCACTCAATGCTTTTAGGTATAGCAGAGTTATGATGTCCAAAATATTACTAAGAGAATTGTGTGGTAAGCAGAAACTAGACTTCAGACGGGAGTTGAACCCGCGTTTAATCCATATCGGGAGCGCGTGCTACCACTACACCACCGAGGCCCACGCTTACTCATCACTCATTCCTCAATATTCTTCAATTGTCTACCATCTGATTCTGCTAGGGATATATGAAACATCTTAACACTGCGAAAAAGCACTAAAAACATAAGAATCTAGGAATTATATGAAATCAACGGCTGTTAGCTCAACTCTGTTTAAAAACCATATTAATTACCACCCCCAAACCCGTTAATGGGTGGTGGCCGATAGCTATAATAGAAAGATTCTGAAGAACGAGTGGTAAGCGTTGACCTCCGTGGTGTATTGTAGAATCACCGGTATGTATGAAACGCGGGTTCAACTCCCGTCTAAAGTCGATTTTTTGCCTACCACTCAATTCCCTCAGGAATATTTGAGACAGTTAACAGTTTAAATAAACCCAATGATGTAGAGTGGTGTGCAAAAAACGTTTGCGTCAGCCGGGACTTGGACCCAGATTTTACTCTTTCCTGGTAAGAGGGGTAAAATGGGGTTTAATGTCGATAAAAACTGCCCCGCCACACCGTAGACGGTTGGCTGTTGACAGATAACGCGTTGTAGCGTAGAAAGAGTAGAGTGCAAAACGAGCGTCGGTAATGCAACGGCTTAGCACATGCTCCCGGAAAGAGTAAGATCTGGGCTCAAATCCCGGCTGACGTAAACGTTTTTGCACACCACTCTATATCATTGGGCTTAATTAAACATCATAAACACCGCAATCGGCGGTCAAATAAAGACGATTTACAATCAACAGTTCTATTAGTCTACCATATAAAATAATTTCGTGTTGACAAATTCGACAAAAAGGGACATCCAGCTGCTGCGATTAATCTTCTATCACAGAGGATTCTATAGACACACCATATTTTCATGAAATTGGTCATACAAAGTTGTAGACTACGATCAAATCTAACAGAATAAGGAATAAAATAGCGAAAAACTAGAGCTAAAAACCAAAAAAAAATAGAACTAAAAGCCAGTGGGTACTTTAACCCTCCGTAGGCGGCAGTGATTTTCGCAAACGTTCCAAATTCCGTTACTTAACAAGGCTTTTTGTTCGTTTCGAAAGAAAAACTTCAGGTTTTTTGTCTCCCTCTAAAACTCTATAATCTTCTCTAGACGCTGATATTTTTCCTGCGTATATATAACAGCTCTGTGCGAAGAAAGCTCTGAGTGTGAAACGCGATCTTCCTTCCCTCCTACAGCGCACTATATAGGCCCTTTCCGAAAGTAAACACAGAAACGTTAAGTTCATTTCAGTAAAGACTAAAAAAAATGCGAGAAAATGAAGCTAAAGACTGAAAACTAAGAAAAAAAATCAAAACAATGTGCCTGGCAATCATTTTTTGAGCCACGCATATCAGTAGTCTGTCAAAGAGGGCTGACTTATAGAGTCCGATACACGTGTTTCGACATTGCGATCTCGTCAGTCGGGCAGTTATCCTTTCTCGTCTTTTGCCAATCCTGTGTGGAAGCTCCAGTCCCCACACTAAGAGTTAGCGACGACGAACGTTTTACACTCTATGTCCAGTGAAAATCTCACCAAACACAGAGTGTTGCACACCCGATTGTTCTTGTTCGTCGTCGCTAACTCTCAGTGTGGGGACTGGAGCTCCCACCGAGATTAGCAAAAGACGAGAAAGGGTAACTGCTCTACTGACGAGATCACAAGATCGAAACACGTGTATCGGGCTCTATAAGTCAGCCCTCCTTGACAGACCACTGACATGCGTGGCTCAAAAAATAATTATCAGGCATATTGAAATTTGAGCTGCCGTCTTAAGAAAATACTCGAAACAAAAGATAGGACATAGTGAATAAACTAAAACAGTTAGCAAAGTACATGAACTCCTTGAGGGCAACGATTTTCTCAAGCGGCGCGCGATTTTTCGTACTTGTTGACTTTTTTCTTCATTTCTAAAAGAAGAAACTCCGGGCTTTTGTAGTCCTCTAATAGTCCATAGTTATCTCTACACGATCATAAACTTCTTGTGCATCTACGAATCTTATAAGCGAAGAAAAATCCGAATGTGAAACGCCATCTTCCTTCTGCACCTGCGGCTCAATATGAAGGACTTTCCAAAAACCAAAATTTCCTTTGGAATCAGGGAGATTTGTGCTATCGAATAAATATCAATACAGTCTATTCGAAGGCCATCAAATGACTTCAGCCGTGCGAAAAGTCAATCAGATGTGAAACATATCTTTATTTCCGCTGCTACACTGCACTGAGAAGGTCTTTTCAGAAACTAAGCAGAGTATTGGAATCGTCAAGATTTAAGCTTTCGAATGACTACTAAAATTCCAGCGAAGAGGCTCTGCCCAGCGAAAAAAATACCTTCGAAAAGTTCAGAGGGTCAAACTTTAGCGAAAAAAATAGGAAATAAGTCGAATAAAAGTGATATACCAGCAGCTGAGGCCGTTGATTCGCCATCGAGATGATGTTGACCGTTGGGAAGAACGCCGCCACTCCTGGCAGGAGTCGGACTGGATGAGTAGGTCCCGGGTTTCTCCACAGAGACTCCTTCCTTCCGCGGCGACGGCGGACGACCCGTACTGCTGCCGGGACCACCCGAGACGACACTCATCACCACCAAGGACCACCCAGCTCGGCTCTGAACACGACAGCATTTCGCACTTGGAACGAAGGCGACGGGAAGAATTTCAAAGTCGGACGGGTTCCCACCTAAATCAGTACAAAACTATCGGCGGCAAATTCAAAACGGTCATAAAGGACACTAGTAGAGGACCGCGTAACGAAGGCGTCGCGTGTTAACGCGCGAGCCGCGGCGCGGCACACGGACTAGCCGTGGAGCGCGATTGTTGACAAGGAGGGGAGTGAGTTTAGTGGACGAGGTCGAACCCCGGAACCCTGCCTTCTAATGGCCTGCATCACTCACCACTGCACCAGCTACTCCTCTTCCTTTTGGAGAAAGTTTCACAGATTTATGAGGTTTTCGAGCAAGTGGTGACCCCCTAGGGACGACCGCTGCTCGATTGAATGTGGAACATAATTTTATTTTATCTGCTAGAACGTAATAAAAGGGATTTTCAAAAGAATCAAGCATACTCAATCAGAGTTCTTTTGATATCTGACCGCCACTTGCGGTGGTATGATCTTTTAGTATACCCAATAATATGGAGTGCTGTGCAAAAACATTTGCTTCAGCCAGGATTCGAACCCAGATCTCACTCTTTCCGGAGCGTATGCTAACCGTTGCACCACCGACGCTCTTTTTGCACAGCACTCTTTTAAAAAGAATTGCCGTTATTTAGCTTTCGAAGAGTTTTCAAAAGTCTAGCGGATAAGCTTTGTTCACAGAGAAATGCTTGAGTGTGAAAGATAATTTTATACTATTTATTTTGAGAGTGCTGTGCAAAAAGAGCGTCGGTGGTGCAATGGTTAGCATGCGCTCCCAGAAAGAGTAAGATCTGGGTTCGAATCCTGGCTGACGCAAATGTTTTTGCACAGCACTCCACTCAAAGAAAGCATACTGTTGAAATTGCAGCGATCTAAACTTCCGAGTGTTTATTGACTTCCGAGGGGGAAAGTAGCACTTTTCGGCTATAGGGGAACAAACTAATATTCGACTTTATTCGTTGTAGAGGAAGTTTTTCATAGGAGTGTTAGCAATCATTCGAAAGCTTAAATCTCTGGCTATAGCTTCGCGTGGTCGTTTTTCGAAAAAACCCCTTTATGACGCTGCAAAATGCGAAATAAAATCACGTTTCACATCGGCCGTGCGCGCGCGCGCCTTTATTTCATTTTAATTACGCGTATAATTCGCTGGAATCTCGAATACCATATGATTGTGTAAAGAAAATCTCGTAGCAACTGAGTCATTCGTTTTATACGGAGTTTCTTTTGAAGCGGAAATTTTTCAATTGACTAACAAGTTGCAACCCACTTGTCCAACGCGTTAGCGCGTCGATCGATCGCCCCGCCTCCAACCGGTGGGTGGACCGGTTGTCCAACGCCCCAGGGCATCGATCAATAGCCCCGCCTCCGACCCGTGGGCGGGCCGGTTGTCCAACGCATCAGGGCGTCGATCAATAGCCCCACCTCCAGCCCCCGTGGGCGGGCCGGACACAAGATTGCCGTATATGTGAAACTTGCTCTTATTTCCCTTGCCACTCTGCGCTGAAGTGGTCTTTCCAGATAATAAGCACAGCGTTGAAATCACAGAACCTTACGCTATCGAATGATTACAGATAGTCTGAAGAAAGAGCTCTTTTCGGCGAGGTGTAGGCAGAAGTCTTTTCTTTCCTCTACAGCGCTGTCAAAGAGCTTTCCCAACGAGCAAACCCTTTTTTGAATTCGTCGAGAATTTGCGCTATCGAATGAATACTAGCACTCTAATGGAGGAGTTCTGTTCAGCGAAATGTAAGCGAAATAAGAAAAAAAAAAGGCTGGTCATGTGAAACCTAATCTTATTTCTGAATTTTACAGCGTTATTAAAGATTTTTTCCAAAAAACCGGCCAGGTAGCGCGCTAGCCAGAGAATTAAGCTTTCGAATGATTACTAACACTTCTATGAAAAACTCTTGTACAGCCAATGAGGTCGTATTTTCATTTGATTCCGTATAACAGAAAGAGACAACCGTGTACCTCAGCTGGTCCACGTCGTCCATAGGGGGTCAAATTGAAGTGTTGTGGCAATTCAAGAATCCGACGACTTCTTATTGACTTTGGCCATAGTAAATGAATGCCTTAGAGAATTGAGTGGTGAGCAAAAATACGACCACAGACGGGAGTCGAACCCGCGTTTGATCCGTATCGGGGACGCGTGCTACCACTACATCACCGAGCTACATTCGCCCCACCACTCATTCTTCAACATCCAAGCACAAACCAGTTAAGAGGTTGGTGAGTGGTAGCTATCATAGAGAATGTACCTCGATGGTGTAGTGGTAGCACGCGTTCCCTGCATGGATGAAACACGGGTTCGACTCCCGTCTGAGGTCGTATTTTTGCTCACCACTCATATTCTCTTAGGTATCTATAGAACATCGTAACACTGCGAAAAGGCAGCGAAACACTAAAGATTTCATAGTTATTGATCCATAAAAATCTTAAGGACTGTCACTGTCAGCTCACGATGTTGTTGTTGTTGTTGTTGTTGTTGTTGTTATTGTTGTTGTTGTTGTTGTTGCCGTCGATTGTCTCCCTATCTAAGAGCCGTTTTCTATGGTCTGAGGCTTATCGCCGCTGAGATGAGCGTGCTAAGCTCTGGAGATGAGTACACCGAAGATGAACTTCTGCGTGTTTGCGAAGAGATTGGCCTGCCGGTTGACGAGCAGAGCGTTGGTCTTCTGAAAGAGATGTGAGTCTAGTGCCTCAGTGTTCTTAGCTCTTCGGAACTTCTCTAGCCGGCTTGGAAATGTTATTGATCTATTCATTTGTTGGGAGATCAACACGTTTCGGCGGGATTTCGAGAGCTTTCTGAAAGTCTGGCGGACTTTTGAAATCCTTGCTTCCCTTTTCTCTGCTCTTTCTTCCTCAAAATCTCAGAATCAAGAGTTGGCTTGCCACAACCCTTTCAGGACCGTGGATTCACAGCCTGTGCATCTCCAACTGGCAACTCTTGGACGGTCTGCTCCACCTCCTCTGCATCCCTAACCCCAGCGTGCCATTGTTTTGCATAGTAGCTTGCCTTTCTTCGACGCAGCACGCTGGAGGTCAGACATGCAGAGGCCGTGGGTCCACGGTCTCGGACTGGTTTAACTGCACCGATACGACATCCATTCCTTTGTTTTTATTCTTATTGCGCAGTGCTAGGGGGCCACTTTAGCTGAAGCAGTAGCAATAGCGAAGATCTTTGTCCAAAAGTGCTATGTGATATGCAAAATTCGACCTGGGCTAGAGTTGAACCTCCGTTTCACTCATACTGGGAGGGAGAATGTTTGCATAATTTTCTCCACCGACGAGATCCGAACCCGCGTTTCATCCATACTGGGAGAAACTGTAGGTTTTAGTTCTAATACAGAGAAAATCCTAGATACAGTTATCGACTGATTAGGTCAAAATTCTCTTCCAGTAATCGACGAGATCGTGGTCGAGCCCATTTCGGAGAACGAAGACGGTCAGCTGGACTCGTCTCTCTTTGGAAGTCTCAGTTTGTCAGACTCGGTTCCCACGACGGACAGCAGTAGTTATGGGAATCACGACGGCATCTCATCTCCGATCCATCGATTATGTAGGTCAAATCATTCCTTGTTTCTAGTTTGTAAGTTTTCCTACATTTTGCATTTTAGATAAGCGGCGTTCGCGAAGATCAAATTGTCGCTCGGCTGCTCAGACGAAGGAGGTTCCTCTAGATGTTCCAACATCACAGGAAAACGAAGAAATGGTATGCACGAGCCTGTTTGCGACAGTCCTTCGCTTCAGGATCTATCTTTGTAAACTATACTCTAGATGCGTATGCTTAGCTTCGATCACGGACGGGATTTGAACTCGCATCTTATGGTTCTCAGGGGCGCAGGCTAACCACTGAACTATCGGGACTTCTCTTATGCTATCACTCTATCACTTTTTTGCATGTCACTGGACATTTTTGGACATTTGGTTTTGTTATAGCTATCAATTGCTTCTATTTATATCCTTTTTATTCTAGAGGCGTCACAATCCTGCCGCATACTTTCTACTCAACGATGCTTGGCGATGTTTGAATAGTGTTTATAGGACGATGGCGGCAGTTGATGATTTGGTGGGAATTCAGTGAGCTAGCTGTATCTTTTCGAGGTTGCCAAATCAGCATATCTTTCCAGTTCAAAAGTCGGACTGTCTATAAACTTCGGCATCAAAAATCAAGATATCTAGTCGTACACTTCCCCTTGATTCAGCCGATTCCTTGGGGACAAACCCCTATATATCAGGGAATCGACGCCGAATAATTAGCACTTTGTTTACCTACGCGAAGTTGGTAATATAAGTAGCAGTAGCCGTTCGATGGCTGGCGTTTTGGCGACTTGGCCTTAGTCCAGCCTGGACGAACGTTGTATTGAAGTGTCTGAATACTCCGTGGATTATCGATATCTCTCATACTGTCCCCTGGTGAGATCAGAAGATTCAACGGAGGAAAGAGCGCCATGTCCCGTTTAATGGCAGCGCATCCGTCCTTACGGTCCATTCTTGGGTTTTTGGCGTTTATCCCGAGCATCGACGCGCGCGATTTTTGAGGCGTTTTGCATAGGCGTTGAAGTTCCAAATCAAACAGGACGGCGTGAATTCGTTGGCATTAGACGAGACATGGCGCTTTTTCCTCCGTTTAATCCTTTGACCTGACCTGAGAGCAGTGTAAAAGGTATCGATAATCCATCGATTATATAGAACAATCCAGTACAATGTACGTCCTAGGCTCTGAACATGGTCAAGCCGCTGAAACGTCGATCATCGAACTGCTACCGCTACTACAGTCACCATCGTCGCGTCGACTAAACAATGTAAGACCTCAAGATTAATGTCTTTTTATATGCCTAATAGTCATTTTTGAGCCACGCACTGTCAGTGGTCTGTCAGGAGGGCTGATTTATGGACTGGAGTACCCACAGAGATTAGCAAAAGACAAGAAAGGGTGACTGCCTGACTAATGAGATCGCAAGATCGAAACACGTGTATCGGGCTCTATAAGTCAGCCCTGCTTGACAGACCACTGACATGCGTGGCTCAAAAATAATTATCAAGCATACTGAAATTTGAGCTGTGGTCTTAAGAAAACACTTGAATCGAAAGATATGATCTCTTTTTAGTTTATTAATATCTTTTGTTCTGTGGTTTTTAGCGGACGAAGTTGTCATCATTGGGATACCCCACAACTGGTGACGTAAGGTGTAGATCTGATGGTGTTTCGAAATCAGCTGGGACAAATGCAGACGACGACAAGGGTATGAAAGAGTTTCACTTTCTATGCTTGAACTCATCTACGATACTTTCAGAAAATCAGGATGGCGGCACATACCATCATGGCATTGGCCAACCGTATATTTGTCCAAGTTTTTCAAGCCCTACTCAAGACTTGCAGGCGGCGGGAGAAACGGTACAAACCCAGGAGCTACCCAACCCGATCCAAGTTGGTTACTTCTAATCTTCTTGCAGCCCCAGCAAGGTCATCTGTTACTTCATGTTCAGGTCTTCGTCGTGTTGATCGGATCGTTCCTGGTCAACTTTTTCTACAAGCATGACCCAGTAAAGAAATTTGAGCTATACAGGTATGATGAATCGCATGTTATTTCTAAGACGATGCTAACAAAGTCACTACGGTACTCAACTGTTAGGATAACCTTCGTTTCGAGTGTTTTCTTAAGACCACTGCTCAAATTTCAATATACTGATAATAATTATTTGAGCCACGCATGTCAGTGGTCTGTCAAACAGGGTCGACTTTCTAGTCCCCAGTGTGGGGAATGGAGCACCACAGAGATTAGCAAAAGACGAGAAAGAGTAACTGCCCCGATTGACGAGATGGCTCTATAAGTCAGTCCTGTTTGACAGACCACTGACATGCGTGACTTTCTAGTCCCCAGTGTGGCTCCAGTCTGGGGACTGGAGCACCCACAGAGATTAGCAAAAGAGGAGAAAGGGTAACTGCCCGACTGACGTGATGGCTCTATAAGTCAGCCCTGTTTGACAGACCACTGACATGCTTGGCTCAAATAACGATTATCAGGCATGTTAGTATAACCTGTCTTCATAAGTGTGTCGAGATTATTAGGTTAGCAAGAAATTTCCCGGACTTTTTTCGTTTTCATTGGTTATTTTTCATATATTTAAGTTGTTTAGTTGTTGTTTTTGGTATAGTTTAAAGCAGCTTCTTGCGGTTATTTTGTTAAATAACAGTTGTATCCTACTCTTGACCATTTGTGTAGACCTCACTCATAACAATAGTAATACCATAACATGATAACATGTCTTGAGCCGGTCGTTATAAGATCTGATTTGGCCCCAATGGAGTGCTAGACAGGCGGTTGAGCAGCCGGCTCAGAACGTGTTATCTTGTTAAGTTTTGTACATGTATTTTAAGATGGAATGTCCCGAGAGTGCCATCAACAATCGTTTTTGCTTTTGGGACAATTCCATCTTAGAACAGATGTATAAATGTCATATAAATAACCGCAAGAATCTGCTTCAAACTGTAGTAAGAATGAAAACTCAGATACATAAAAAATTTACCCAATATGTGGAGTGCTGTGCAAAAACGTTTGCGTCAGCCGGGACTCGAACCCAGATCTCACTCTTTCCGGGAGCGTATGTTAACCATTGCATTACCGACGCTCGTTTTGCGTAGCACTCTTATTTAGAGAGTGAGATTTAGGTTCGAATCCCGGCTGACGCAAACGTTTTTGCACAGCACTCCACATATTGGGTATACTATAACTTATACCACAGCAAGTGGCAGTCAAAATAAAAAGAATCTAGACATAAAAAGTATTTAGCAGAAACGAAAAAATCCGGAGAGCCTCTTGCCAACCAAGTCGCTGTTCTGCCATTCGGAAATCTTGCTTGCATCTGTCTTACTGAAACGTGTTTGGATCCTGTATATGGACTTGGCCGCCATTGAGGATCTTGTCTTTTCGTGAACGTTGGTGAATGCTGGTCGAATCGTGCTCGTTAGAATCTCGAAATAACTGCTAGAGCATTCTCGAGAGTTCACTACAAATACTCGCTAGCTTATGCGGATTAGAAGGAGCTATGAAGCTTTTCCTAAAAGTATCTTTTACGTGTAAAAGATAAAGGAGAAAGCTCTCGGCGAAGATCTATCCCTCAGGGATACACCACGCGTTCGTATTCAGTTTTCAATTTCGTTTGATGTGATGGAAATGCATATCTGGCCTTTTACAATGACTCGCGGTGGCCCGCTCGCTGTTCGAGTCAGTGCTGCTTATCCTCCTAGATAGACAGGTTTGCGACGAGTCCGCTACCAATTTGCCGACCCCGGAGCGATGGATGGCTTGCTGAGCCGTGAGCA